ATATATATATTTCCCTACCCAATTCCTCATTACACACATTTACAGACTCCCATGAAGTTAACGGGGTAAGCTGCTGCAAGCTGAATGTGATTTGCTGATTAAGAGGGACAAGAAACACTAAGAAAAAAAAACCAACAAAGTAATATTTTTCATCCGTATTAAAGTAACTGAACTAAATTCTATTACTTAACTATACTGAGTACTCAAAACCAAACAATAATTAGCATCAGATGTCTTAAACGAAGGCAAAAACGACACAAGACCAAACAAAACTGTACAGAGAATATCATCACAGAATATCCCAAGTTGGAAGGGATTGGATTCAATGATCCCACAAGGATCATTGATCCTTGCTCCTCACAGGTTTACTCAAAATTCAGACCATGTGACTGAGGACATAGTCCAAACACTTCTTGATCTCCGGCAGGCAAGGGCCACCGTTGTCTGATATTCACCCAGGCATTACTCAGGGTTAAGCCCCTATCTGTGCAAGTACATGGGGTACCACAGAAATCAGCACTAGTGTCTTACAGATTTCAGCCTGGCTGACAAACATAACAGCTTGCAGAATTTGCTGTCTGCATTTTTAAGTGAAAAACCACCACAATCACCTAGAGCACATTGTGCGGGATGGCATCCAGGCAGGGTTTGACTTATCTCCAGAGAATAAGACCCCACAGCCTCTCTGGGCAGCCTGTCCCAGTGCTCTGTCACCCTCCCAGTAAAGAAACGCCCTCATATTCACCCTCTTGAGCGGCTCTAGGAGCTGTCGTGGAGCTGTTCCTGCAGCCATTCCCGTAGTGAGGAGCGCGGGGCACAGCGGTGGGACAGCAGCAGGGCCCTGCCAAGCCTCCCCTGTCTCTGCCTTGAGCAAAGACAGCCACTGGTGCTCGCTCAGGCTACACCCCTCAGCACAGAATGACCATCCCTTATAAACAAATCTTTTCATTTTTAACAGGCCCAGGGATTGCTCTGCCCCCCACCCCGCCCCCAAATCCCGAGAGCCCGCAGTCCGAAGCTCACACAGCCAGGCAAACACAAGCCTTGCTGCAGGGAGCTCATCAGCTGGAACCGACTGCTCCGTAACAGGACAGAGAAATTCAAGTAAAAGTATATTTGCTGCAATAATCCTTCCCGCGGAAAGTTATGTTCTGATTTAAGGATGTGGCAACTTCTGGATGTAAGTATTTCGGTCCAAATAATTTTTAGCATGTCAAAAGGGATCTTGAAGAAGCAGCAGAAAATGGAATTTGCACTCCGTAACTCTCCTTTGGCAGATGGATAGCATTTTAATTTTTGGAAATAAAAAGACACAGCTTACCTGTAAGAATTCAAGGTCTTTTGGAGTTCCTGATTCATGGAGGGACATCTGCTGTTATTTAACCCCCAAAAACTAACGATGCCTAAGCACAGACAGGTCGCATTTCAGCCCGGCAAAGCTCGAAACGCCTGCACTGACTGTGAGCCTGCAGCCCTTTAACAATTTGGGGTCTTCAGCAAGCAAACGAAGGCCACGATCTCTAGTTCCTTCTTAGAGGATGTCACAACAGAAAGATTAAAAAAGGCAAACACCCAACAGGCCAACGGTGTGTGAATTACACAACCTGCTGTGAAGCCAGGGTTCCTATACAGGCACGTTTCACTCAGCATGCAGCTTGTTTTGGGAGCTTCCTTTTTTCTTATGCTATTTTCTGTCCCACAATCAGCATGACACAGTGGGAACTAGCATTGTAGTAAATTTTACTACAAGCATCAAATCCTGAACACCGCACTTTCTGCTAGAATTCACCCGGCAGCCCTTAGTTACCTCATTTTTGGGGGCAAAACCACAGGGGTGCACCCAAGACTGAGGCTTCATGCAGCATCCTAGCTGTTAATATAGAGACCCAAGGTAGCTTTTGAGTATCTGGGTTTTATACTGAGCAGCATGCCATAAGCACATCCCCCCAGTGTTTCAGCCCCATGGTCAACTGATTGTGCTTAATGGTGTAGGGTGCATTTCGGAGGTCACAGATCACAGAATCACCGAATTATTAAGGTGGGAAGAGACCTCTGAGACCACCTGCTCCAACCACCCCCCTCCCACCAGTGTCACCCACTAACCCATGTCCCCAAGCACCACGTCCAACCTCTCCTTGAACACCCCCAGGGACGGTGACTCCACCACCTCCCTGGGCAACCCAGATTTCTCCCATCTTTGCGAAAACACATCTTTTTCCTGCTCATATCTTAAGAATTCTCAGAAAGCACCCGAATTTATTTTTATTTCCACAGAGCCCTCAGAAACCGCCCCGAATTTTTATTCTCATTTTTTATCCGCGGAAGCCGCAGGGGCTCTGACGAACCCCCCCCCCTTAACCCCTTTTTGGGGCGAAACCCCCCTTTTGCTCAAGGCCGCGGCAGTGCCCGCCTGAGGCGGGGGGGCGGGGCCATGCTGCGGGCAGCCGGCGGCGGCGGCTGGAGGTCACCGCGCTCCCCCCCCCCCGTCCCCGCCCGGTGCTCACCATGGCGGCCCGCGGCGGCGGCCCCCAGCGGGAGGCGGCGGCGGAGGCGGGCGGACAGGAGGGCGGCAGCGGGGAGCGGAGCGCGGCTGAGGCGCCCAGGAGGCGGGCGGCGTGCAGGGAGCGCTGCATCCTGCCGGCCGGGGGCGGGGGGCGGTAGGTGGGGACAGAAACGCCCCGGACGGGCGTCAGGAGGAAGGAGGAGCCCTGCTGTGGGGGGTTGGGGCTGGCGGAGCTGCTGCCCGTGGAGAGGAGCCCCCGCAGGAGCAGGGGGTCTGGGGGGAGCTGCCGCCCAGCCATGGGGGACCCGTGCTGGAGCAGTTTGCTCCTGGGGGATGGATGGATGGATGGAGCCCGTGGGACGGAGCCGTGTGGGAGCAGTGCTTGAGGAGCTGCTGCCTGTGGAACAGGCAGCCGCTCCTCTGTGGATAAATCTGTGGAACAGATTTATCCCACACCTTTCGCAGACGTAGGGGAGCAGAGAATAATTTGGGATCTACTCTAATGAAAGTCAGTTTGGGCATAGTGGTACTTCTCTAGCTGTTTCTGAGACATACGCATTAGCTACAGGGAGTGTTGTGCTGTCATTGCGAGGCGCCTGCGGTGATGACTTCAGAAACAGAGCTGAATGATGTCACCACAGCACTTTGGGAACAGCTGCTGGGAGGGACAGAGAAGGGTGCTGGGTGTGATGAAACCACGTGAGGATTTGTGCATCTCCCCTTGAGGTGCACAGAGAGGGCCCATGCCCTTCTGTAAGTGTTTTGTTGATGGCTGAGGAAAAAAGTGCGTGTTTTTTGTTTTGTTTTGTTTTGTGTTTTGTTTTGTTAAGCATAAACAAGAGGCTTAGGAGTCCCCCTGTCACGTTCAAATTCAGGACAGCAATGTACTTCCTCACATGGGCTGGCCTGTCGAGTAGTGTCTCAGGCTGTGGTGTATGAAGATGCACTCCATCTGCTTTCAGGCTAGCACTTGCAGTGGGCAAGCTGCCTGACCTTAACATTGTTCATTCCATTTTTCACCTGAAAAATGGAATCTTTCTAGAAAAAAAGAAGAAAAAAAAAAAAAAGAAATTAAAAAAAAAAAAGGGAATTGAGATCAAAATAAAAGGATTTCCTTTCCATTAATTCCATGTTCTTAACTTGACAGATTTGATTATTGACTTAGAAGGCAAATATCTGGCCAGACTGCAAGACTTATGCTCGCAGCGTGGGACAGCTCTCGTAAGGGTGATTCAGGGTAGCTTCTGGAAAACAAGACGTCAGATCTCCAAACCAGCTTTGTTTGTGCTAATGTAGGAAGGGCGAGAAAGAGTAAAGGTAAGAGTCCAGGTACCGTAAGAAGCGGAAAGTGTGAAGGAAACTTCCTTCTGGCTGATACAGATCCATATCTAGTTGTCAAGTATGAAGAGAGCAGTTCTAAGTTTCTCGGGGAGAGGAAAACAAAGAGACTGGGAGATTGTACAAAGACAAAAATGGGATTAGCTATTGCAGGAAATCATAGGAACTGGAAAGAGAGGTTGGAAGAGTGCTTTAAGCCAAGACAGAAACGTATTCAACCTCAAACCTAGGAGTTGGATGAACCAAGAAATGAACACATTTTGATGATGGCGTTGTGCCCAGTGTTATCTTGGGAAACATGGTTTCCACCTCAAATGTATGTGGGGCTTGAAGTTTTCCTAAGGCCCTTCTCTGTGTATTCCCTACTGCTTGGTAAGCGCTGAGGTCACACTGCAGACAGTGTGACCTCTCGCCACCACTTAGCTGTCTGTTTGCACAACACGCCTAGCAACAGAATGGCTTGGACACAACTGCGCCTAGGAGCGAGTTCATTCAAGCTGCTGGACAAGGTAAAAGCTCTGGACAAGCGAAGGGCAGGGAGGGATGGATGGACATACAAGATGATCACTTTAATCTCATTTCTCTAAGAATCCTTCCTGAGAAAACAAAACAGCACAGAACAAATGAAACAAGCAGCTAGCTTGCTGGAGACATTGTCTGGGAGACAGTGAAAACACTTGCAGACAAAAACATACCGAAGGACTAACTCTTTGAGCTTCATTCGAATCAGACAGCATAACCTCAAAGTCCTGTTTCTGTTCATAACATGGCTGGTACAGTAACATGTCACATTCGATGACTTTGCAGCATAGATGTCAGGAGTGCAGCTTGGGATCACCTCCTTCTACTTCGAGTTCAGTTGGAAGGGATGAGCAAGGAATTTGTCCTGGGTTGGCGGAAATCTGTTTCAAGTCTGTTTTCTAACACTCTTACAGACCCTTCTCTGTCCATCGGCCTGTCCTGCCAACTCTGGTGGGAGTGCGAAGCTGTGGCAAGAGGGGTTTCCCGTTCCTGTTTGACCTGGTGGACACCAGCTTTCCTAGGAAATTGCTGATGTTGCTGAGGAGGCGGCAGTGTCAAAGGCCTTGTTGATGAAGGTACAACAAGCTGGGGAGGCTTTGGCTTTTCTGCACAACGCTGCTCCCTGACTGTCACTCCAGACTCAGATTCGGAAAGAAGCAAAGCAAGCTAGAGGAAAACTGGATGTCCAGGTAATTTTCGTTTCTTTCTTGTTTCATTCTTCACTTGTAAGAAAATCTAAGTCTTTAGACCATTTGTCTGAAAACACAGCTTTATGGAAATGCTTCTGGGTGTGCTCCTTCCCCTTGTTTGGAACCTGCTTCACCTCGCTTCAGCTAGAGGACACCTATGCTCAAATTTATGCTTCCCATGAGAAAGCGGGGTTCTTTCGCTATTCTTTTCTGTGATGGTTGCAGGTGAGGTTGACAAGAGTTGTCAGTACGATTCTTCGTTTCCTTTGCAGTATCCAAAACTCCGTGTTACAGCGGATCTTCTCCTCTGATCCGAAAAGCTTCACAGGCCAAAAGAGAATTGAGATGAAGAAGGCAAGAGAGAATGCAGACCAAGACTTCCAATTCCCCCCCGTAAGTTTTGTGAAGGAATCGGGTGCAGTTCTGTAGTGGGAGAAAGTTAATAAAATCCTGATCGTGCACTTGAAGGCAAGCAATGCTCTAAAAACGAAGAATGCAAGGCCCTGCTTAAGGGCAATCTTCAGGCTGCTTCTCGATCAGCAGCTGATTTGCTTCTTCCACACCCTCATCTCCACTTGCTTAGCAGTTGTGAAGGTCGGAAGCACACTCCGTGTTTTTCATCCATCCCCTCTGTGTATCTTTTGCCTGACAGCAACTTCTGTCGTGGCTCTTCACATCCAGCCAGAGCAGTTTCTTTGCCTCCGCAACCTGCAGGCTGTCCTCTCGTGTGTACCTGTGGTGGACTGAGGGTAATGCTTGTAACGCACACAGATGCTGTATTCACTGGGACTTTGAGAAAAGAGAGCAAGAAGCTAACCTGCGCAGCAGTTTCTTAGGGTTCTGTCTATCTATCTATCTATCTCTCTGCGTCTATATTTCATTACTTATTTACTTATTTAAAGATCCTTGCAATAGAATAGATGCTTTAAGAAAGCTTACTTGTTCTTCTCCTTTCCTTGTTTTGAACGTTTACTTTTCTAAGCGATCCTTAATGTTACGCCATTGGATTGATGTAGTTCTCAGTTCTTAGAAGTTCTCAAAGCGCATCAGGGATTTCTCTATTTCTCAATCTTTCCATCTGCATTGAGACCTCTTATCTTACTTTAGGTGTGAGGTGAAGAAGAACACTGCAGCCAGCTGAAGCCGTATCGGACACATGCTTCTGTTCTGCTCGGAAGTAAACCAGAGTGATTCCACGGTGTACTTTAGACAGATTTCCTCTGGACTCAGCATCCCCAAGGGATATTTCCAAGCTCTCGGAAGGACCTGTCGTTCTCTCTGACACTGCAGTCTCCATTAGGAAGGGGTAAATCTTCCTTGCCCTTGTGCAAAGGAACTACTCAGTTAGCTGTTTCTAACCCAAATCTCTTTGCTGTCTTCTGTTGACAGACACCACCCGGCTAGCCAAGCTAAACCACTGAAAATGGAAGGAGTGGGACATCTTCAAAAGCCTGCTGCTGCTTCTAAGCAGAACTGCGCTGTAGGTGGGGACACAGCAAGAGGACACGTCCAGGCCACGCTGGAACTGCAAGGCACCTGTCCGAGCCACGGAACAAAGTCAGCGATTCCCAGTTGGAGACTGTTGCTCGCCCAGTGACACAGCAGCTGGAGCGCTTCTGGTTGCTGCTGCTGGGTTCCCGTGAATCAGCCAGGGATAGGAGCTATGAGAACGGCTGAAGCGATCTGAAGATACCTGAAAGAAAGAAAAGAGGAGAGAAGAAGACAAGAGGGGAGGGGAGGGAAGGGGAGGGAATAAAAGGAATGGAGGGGTGGGGAGGGAATTGGAGGGGAGGGGAGGGACAGGGAGGGGAGGGGAGGGCAGGGGAAGATAGTGTAGGGGAGGTATGGGGAGGGTAGGATAGGGTAGTGTAGCATAGCCTAGCGAAGTGTAGCGTGTTAGAGGGGAGGGGAGCGTAGGAGAGTATAGGGTAGTGTAGGGGAGCGGAGTTTAGGGGAGTGTAGGGTAGGATAGGGGAGGGGAGTGTAGGAGAGCGTAGGGTAGGGGAGCATAGGGTAATGTAGGGTAGTGTAGTGAAGGGGAGTGTAGGGTAGGATAGGGGAGGGGAGTGTAGCAGAGTGTAGGGACAGGGAGCATAGGGGAGGGGAGCATAGGGGAGTGGAGAGGAGGGGAGGGAGGGAAGGGAGGGGAGGGGAGGGAGGGGAGGGAGGGGAGGGGAGGGGAGGGGAGGGGAGGGGAGGGGAGGGGAGGGGAGGGGTGTGCTACCATAAATAAAATTGCCACATACATGACATTTTGGATCTGGAGCCAAATCTTTGTGTTGCTGAAGGGATGCAAGACACAGACTCCTGATGGCTGTTGAACAGGAGGCTTTTATTGCCCTTTTTCACTCCTACATGTCCTCTCCCCGTAGCCCCATGTGCTGTCCATGCGCCCAAATCCCAGTTGGTCAGAGACCCTCAGACACGCGCCTGGAGCCAGCCAGCAATTGCCCACTGCCCAAAGGTCCTCTTTAACACTGTAGCCAGTTCTTGATCTCAGCCTGGCTCAAGGTTTTGTTCCTACCGCTTGTTTCCTCATTACCTCTAATTCAGGGACCTGCGAAACAGCGCGAAGCCACCTGAAAATTCCCTCCCCACACGTTGCCCTTCATTCCACAACCTGATTTATCGCTGCCATCCGCGCATTGCACAGTGCCATGAAAGGTTTGGTGTGCACAGAGGTGGCTGAGGATTTTCAGAAAGAACTTTCCTTAGGAACTGCATCGAGACTTTTGCTGGAAGGCAAAAGATCGGCTGATAGATTAACATAGGGATGGCAGCTGAGCAAGGGAAGCATCTTCCAGACTTCCAAATATTTCCTGTAGACAGAACTACAACTCCTCTGCTCTCCGCTTAGGAGTTTCCGTCACCTGCTTGGGAAGCAGAAGCAGTAACATGGGATTTAGAGGATCCAGCTGAAGCGTCAGTGCCAGTTAGAGGAAACCATCAATTTACTGGGGTTTGAAGAGAGTTTGACCAGTGTTCCAAGCAACATGTACTAGTGCTGCATATGTATGTATAGTAAATATCTCTACAGCTGGCTTGTATCAGACATAGAGTGGCCCTCAGGACTAGGGAAGCGGTTGTCCCTCTGTGCTCGGCTCTGGTGAGGCCGCACCTCGAGCACTGTGTTCAGCGAAGACCTCGAGGTGCTGGAGCGTGTGCGGAGAAGGGCTCTGAAGCTTGTGAAGGGTTTCGAGAACAAGTCTGGTGAGGAGCGGCTGAGGGAGCTGGGGTTGTTCAGCCTGGAGAAAAGGAGGCTCAGGGGAGACCTTCCTGTGCTCTACAGGAAGCTGAAAGGAGGCTCCAGAGAGGTGGGGATCGTTCTCTTTTCCCAAGCCCCAAGTGACAAGACAAGAACAAGAAACCTGAAGTTGTACCAGGGGAGGTTTCGGTTGGTTATTGCGAAAAATTTCTTCACCGAAAGAGTTGCTCTGGTGGGTTTACGTGGCAAGGTTTTGGTAGCAGGGGGCCATAGGGGTGGCTTCCTGTGAGCAGAGCCTAGCAGCTGCCCCATGTTAGATAAGGGCTCCACTGCCGGCCAGAGCCAAGCCAAGCAAACGATGTCGCTTGTTCCTCTGTGAGAGCGTAATTAAGAAAGGAGAACAAAAATAACAGCAAAAAAAAGCTGCTTCCCAGGGAGAAAGAGAGGAGAAGCAGCCCTGCAGCCCCCCAGGGGAGTGCAGCAGGAGGGCAGGAGGTGCTGCAGGCAGGCAGCAGCAGTTCCCCTGCGGGCTGTGCAGGGAGAGGCCCCCGGTGGAGCAGGCTGTCCCCCTGCAGCCCATGGGTCCCCCACGGAGCAGATCTCCACGCTGCAGCCCCCCCGTGGGTGGAGGAGCCCCCGGTGGAGCAGGTGGATGTGGCCTGGAGGAGGCTGCGGCCCATGGAGAGCCCCCGCAGGGCAGGAGCAGGCCCCGGGCCGCAGCTGCAGCCCCCCCGTGGAGAGGAGCCCCCGCAGGAGCAGGGGGTCTGGGGGGAGCTGCCGCCCAGCCGTGGGGGACCCGTGCTGGAGCAGTTTGCTCCTGGGGGATGGATGGACAGACCCTGTGGGATGGATTCGGTCTTGAAGAGCCCCCTCTGCCCTTCTCATCCGAGCAAGACACTTGGCACTGCTCCAGAGCCCAAGCTGAGTGAAACCCCTGATACACAGCACAGAACCACTAAATGAGGCAGATACCACGTATTTTTATTTTTATTTTTTTTTCCAGCAGCAGCAAGGGAATAAAATGTTCAGCCAGTGCAGCAACACAGAAACAAAAAGGCGGAAGTGCTTAATGCTCATTTGTGGAGTTATACGTCAAATCCTGCAAGAAGGGCATTGCTTGTGGCTTTACATATTCATACTAGAGCAAGAATTCAAGTCAGAGAAGCCTCAACATTTTGATGAGCCTTTGGCAAAAGTGAGCCTTATATCCTCTGAAAGAAAAGACGGTCTAGGAAATGCCCAGAGAACACCACAGAGTCAGCTTCACAAATTCCACAGATAGCAAAAATAGCTATAAAGATTATAATCTACTCAGGGTATAATTTGGAGGAAATAAATTCCACTTGTTATCTGCTGGCGTAGAAGAAGCATCTCGTTTCCTTCCATAAAGCAATAGCATTACTTTTATTTTTACAATTTTAGCTTTAGAAAAAAAGGTTATAGTTACTATAGCACCATCTTTTCTTTCATGTTACTTACAATCAGCAATTTTGATGCTTCATTTTAAAACCTTGTATCATAAAATTCAGCATCTCAGTCTTGTCTGAAACTATTGCAATGCATTTCAGATTCTTAAAATACAGAAATAACTATACATTCAAAATAAAGACATTATATACATAACATATTGATACTGTGATAAGATTTTAATCACTTCAGATGCATTTGGTGTTTTCCCTTTCAATTTCAGAAGCTAGGTGAAAGAACACAAGTTGTCCTGCATTCCACACCAAAGAGCAGAACACAAATTGGAGAAGCTTCTAGGGAACATTTTTGATTAACTGATAGTTACAATGGTATTTTGATTTGCCTGTGCTATGCTTATGTACACTAATCCTCTTTGGGAGAGACCTGCAAGTTGGATGTAAGCTACTAGTATGAGCGAATAGCAGGAGGAACAGTCGAGCAGTCTTCTTCATTCAAAGTTTTGTCAATTACAGGTCTGTATTTCAAGGAAACCTAAAACAAAAAAGAAAAACAAAAAAAAAATAAGACAAAACTTGTATCTAAACATGACAACGTAGCTACAGGTTGTAGCTGTTGACTGTAACTGTTATTCAGTTGTTGACCGAGTAACATGGGTAACTGAATGGCTTGATTGATGTTAAGCCGTTTCCCATTATTCATTTCATTCTGTAGTAGATGAACAATTGGTAACCTACAAGAAACATTTACATTCCACCCAGTTACCACCAGATAAATTTATTAAAACCAACAGTTTTTATTAGAGGTGGTACTGAATGGAATGAATGGTACCGGAAGACTACTCCCTTGAAAAGGATGTTATCAACAGCTGTCCTCAAGCATCTGACTTGACTTACCTTCCCAGACTTGACATCCACATACGAAAGGGTGTGCTTTCTCCAGTGCTCTTCAAATGGCTTGCGCTGTTGGCCTTGGAGTGGCTTGGAATAGTCAAACTCATCTATCCGTACCTAGGGAGACGATTATGTCAGTATAGACCAGAAACTGGCATCTGTAAATCACCTCATTAGTTTATTAATGTTTTAAAGATTAAACATTATTAGTTTAATTGCAGTTACAACTGTAATACATGTCTCATAATAGCCAGCAAGCTTTACGTTAACACTGACTGTATCAAAGTTCCAAGTCCTTGTTAAACTTCAGCATTTAAGATAATGTTTCTTGCAGAGAATGGCTATTCTGCCTTAATCAGGTCATGAATGTCTAAACAGGTTTCATTATGCCCCTGCTTTCACCTCTCTAATAATTACAATGCATTCATTGAACTACTCTTCTCTTAAGATCATTACCCACCATTGCACGCACTGGTCATTTTATAAATAATAAATAGAGCAGGGCAGGTGAGACCACCATTAGCCTTAATTTCTTGAAAGTCTTCAGAGCCTTGAGTTAAGATGTTTACATAATTCATCCAGGTCACGTAACAAGCAATGCAATGCCCAGGTCACAGAAAATGCATACCTTATAGTCCTCTCTGGCATGAGCACCCCGGGACTCCTTGCGAGCCTCAGCACCATAAATGGTTTGTAGAGCACAAAGCATCAGGTTTTGCAGTTCCAGGGTCTCCACCAAGTCAGTGTTCCACACAATACCTAGTCAAATATTTAATTAATATGGAAGGTGTTCTATGAAGAAATTATTTCTTAATTTACTTCTATCTTAGTGCTAGTACTTAGAATTAAACTAGGGGGGAAACCTGCTAGTTATACAAAGTTCTCCTTCATTAAGTATCTCCAAGGCAGAAGCCAAGTTCCATACA